AAAAAAAAAAAAAAAAAAAAAAAAAAAAAAAAAAAAAAAAAAAAAAAAAAAATATAACGATTACATCCCTCCCCGACCTCGAGAGACGTGGGACCGTTAAAATCGAAAGGGAGAGACCTCTTTTGATCCGCGTCAATCTGCGGCTCTTCATTTTGCGGCCGACGTGTCCCGCGGACGTACACATTATTATATACTTGCACGCATCGTAATTAGTTTGCTTTGATTTTTCAAGAAATCGTTGTAATCTCATTTTTCTCGTTTTACAGCCGACAGTATGAGCAAAGAGCTGGGCATCGGCGCCGAGGACTCGGACGCCTCCAGCGGCGCCCAGCACCACCACAACCTGCACCAGCAAAGCTCCAAGCAGCGAGTGCCCCCGACTTACGTGTACAGTCCAAGCTCGGATCCCGAGAGCAGTTCGCGGAGCAACGGCGAGGGCGGCCCGAACGATGACGGGGAGCCGCGGCACCACAGGCTCGGCTACCGGGGTGCCGGGGTCCCGCCCACCGAGGACCAGCTCGGCCCGCTGCCCCACAACTGGGAAAAGGCCTACACGGACCACGGCGAGGTCTACTTCATCGAGTACGTCCTACTATGTCCCATGACTGATACAATGTGGAATACAATAATATAGTGTATGGATATATTTCCATCCTCAGTCACAACACGGGCACGTCGCACTGGCTGGACCCGAGGCTCTCCAAGTTCCAGAAGCGCTCGCTCGAGGAGTGCTGCGACGACGAGTTGCCCTACGGCTGGGAAAAGATCGACGACAACCTTTACGGCACGTACTTCATCGACCACGTGAACCGGCGCACTCAGTACGAGAACCCGGTGATACAGGCCAAGCGCGCCCTCCAACAGCAGCAAAACAACCTGGTGCGTGTGTTTATCATTAATTACATTGTCGTGTCGGTGCTGATTTTCCTTGCGTTACGTTATTAAAACAGGCACACCACCAGCAGCAGAACGCGATGGGCGAGGGGAAGAGTCCGATGTTTACGCGTAATCCCGATGCTTTGAAGGGCCAGCGCATCAGAACGAGTCTGGTGAAGAGCTCGAGAGGTCTGGGCTTTACGATCGTGGGCGGTGACGACAACGTGCAGGAGTTCCTGCAGATCAAGAGCGTCGTGCCCAATGGGCCGGCCTGGCTCGATGGCAAACTGCACACGGGCGACGTTCTGGTTTACGTGAACGACATATGCGTGCTTGGCTTCTCGCACAACGAGATGGTCAACGTGTTCAAGTCCATAGGTAGCGGGGAGACCGTGGCTTTGGAGGTGTGCCGGGGCTACCCGCTGCCCTTCGATCCGAACGACCCCAACACCGAGGTCGTTACGACCATCGCGGTCAACGCGCCGGACATTCTCACCGAGGAGTCGAGCCTCTACATGGACCTCGAGCGCTCGGCTATGAGGGCTAGCGAGCGCTTCGACTTTCTCGACTCGACGTCCTTCATGCCTGTGCACCCGGCTCAGCAGAACGGCGACAACCTCACGACCACGGCGTCCGTTAACTCGATGCCGGACCTCTGCATATCCGAGAAGCTCAACTCCATGGGCCCGATCAAGAGGCCCAGCAGCACCGACATCCTGTTGATGGACAGCGTCGGTGATCGCTCTCACCCCCTGTAAGCCACTTTTTTTTATTCCTCTACTATAATAATAATACGTAAGCGGTTTCTTATTGTTTTTTTTTTTTTTTTTTTTTTTTTTTTTTTTTTTTTTTTTTTTTTTTTTTTTTTTNTTTTTTTTCTACCTTCAAGTGGTCACGACGACGCTTCTTCGCCCGTGCCCGCAAAGCCGCCAGAGTTCCTGAGCATACCGATCGTTAAGGGAATCACCGGCTTTGGTTTCACGATCGCGGACTCGGCGCACGGCCAGAAGGTTAAAAAGATCCTGGACCGGGATCGGTGCAAGAACCTAATGGAGGGCGACATACTGATCAACATCAACGACGTCAACGTGAGGAACATGTGCCACGCCGAGGTCGTGCAGGTGCTGAAGGACTGCTGTCGGGACCAGGAGGCCCTGATACACGTACAGAGATCGGCCAGCAAATCGCCCAAGTCCCCGTTGCAGGACAAGGACTGCCTGAAGGACTTTAAGGACAAAGCGGTCTTTGATTTTTATCGTAGCAAGACGCCCACGGCCGATATTTACAGTACGCAGCAGAAGGCGATAGTGCCGCAGAGGCCGAAGACACCGCTGATCGACACCCGAAACTCAAAGACCATGTCGCCACTGCCACCTTCGGCGTCTTTGCAGCAGCAGCAACATCACGAACAGCTTCGACAGACGTCGGTGGATTGCGTGGATAACGAGGTGCAGAACGCGCTCGACAACAGGTACAAGTACAACCAGGACTACGGGCACCCGATCTACGGCTACACCACGGAGATGCCATACAAACCGAACGTCTCGCATCTGGTGGACAGTTTCAACGCCATGAACCTATCCGGCATGGAAATGGAGGACTCGCTGGCGCGCAAGTGGCTGGCGAACAACGACAAGTTAAACTACAGCAACGACGTCTACTCGATTGATGTTGCCCAACAGCAGCAGCTCAATCACCATCACCACCAGCCTCCGCCACCGCCACCACCACCGCCGCTGCCCTCCCAGCACGCAAAGCAAAACGGTATTCACGGACCACCTATGGCCGCTAATGATTATTACAAGGACATTTACGCGCTGCAGTCGCCCACGCAGTCGCAATTTGACGGCGAACACGCGGATTACGGCTCGTACGTGGCGATGATCGGCCAAGAGCAGAATGTCGACACCGGGGAGATTTGGGACAAGCGCAAGGAGTCGACGAGCTTCGAACACGAGCAGCCGCACTCGAGCTCCATTATGCCGAGGTATGGATAACAAAATAATTTATTCTTGCCGAGATAAAGTTATCAATGGTTTTTCACTAAACGCTCTGTAATACAGGTATGTGCCTTACGGTTCGGACGTTGGAAATGACCTAATGTGCCCGTCGATCCCCGACATCGAGTGGATCGAAACTCTGGTGACGCTCGTGAGGCAGGACAGTGGTTTTGGCTTCCGAATAGTTGGTGGTACCGAGGAGGGTTCCCAGGTACGTGATAATATCCACATGTTCTCAGGCTAATTGTCAAGAACGCACACTTTTACTTGAAACTTTGTGCTCAACAGTGCAACAACGGTATGGCCTCTACGCTTGGCCAACAGGTGTCAGTGGGCCATATAGTACCGGGTGGCGCGGCCGACCTGGACGGACGTCTCAATACAGGCGACTTCATTATGTCCGTCGATGGCGAGAGCGTCATGAACTCGTCCCACCACCGAGTCGTGCAATTGATGATCTCGGCCGCGCAAAATGGACGAGTTACTCTGGGTATCAGGAGGCGTATTTCCCTTCACGACCACCACCATCATTACCTTCAACAACAGCAGCAAAGACAACAACAGCAGCAGCAGCAGCAGCAGCAGATGCAGGATCAAATGCAGTCGTCGTCGTCCTTGTCCTACAACTGCCGGCTCATGGGACACGTGCAGTATCCTTACGAAGTGAGTACCTCTGATTTCCAAACAAGGGCAAGTTTATCGGTTGGATGTGATATATCTATGATTTTTTTCTGTTTTGTTTTATAAAAAAGGTTACGGTAACTCGAATGGAAAACGAAGGCTTTGGCTTTGTGATAATATCGTCGGTGAATAAGGCAGGCTCGACGATCGGACGGATAATCGAAGGCTCACCTGCCGAACGCTGCGCCAGACTCAACGTTGGGGACCACATCCTAGCCGTGAATCACGTTGACATCACCAATGCTTGCCACAAGGATATCGTGAATCTCATTAAGGTAATTTTGTACTGGTATACTATAAAAAAACATCGCAAATTTTTTCCAAATTCATAAGTAAATTGCTTTTTGCGTGAACCACCTCAAGGACTCTGGTTACTCGGTCACGCTGACTATTGGCTATCCACTCGACGACTGCTGTAGCAATGCGTCTTTATCGCAAAAGGTAAATATATCGTTATACCTGTTTATTAAAAACTTTTGAACGATTAACCCATGTGGCGAATTTCAGGATGAAATGATTGGAGACGGAGACGGTGGGCAGTACCATGCGGTGGAATTGACAAGAGGCACACGGGGCTTTGGTTTCAGCATCCGAGGTGGTCGAGAATTCCAAAACATGCCTCTTTTCGTCTTGCAGATAGCCGAGAACGGCCCTGCCTCTATCGACAATAGATTGAGAGTAAGAAAACTCAAAAGTGAATTTTGCGGCAAAAAAAACAATTCAGGTTTTGTTTGTTAACTCATGACCATTCCGTATTGATTATTGCAGGTGGGTGACCAGATAATCGAGATAAATAGCATCAATACCAAAAACATGACTCACACAGAGGCTATCGAGATTATAAGAAACGGTGGGCCGACGGTCCGGCTGTTGGTTCGCCGGGGCTGCCAGATGCCATCAGTGGTAGGTGCTCCATCACATCTGTACGACATGAACATTTAAAACAAAAGTCCAGCAACAAGTGACAATAGCTAACACGCCAATTAATAATCATCTCTCTTCATCAATCTTTACCATCGTTGTCTTTCATCCCCATTGATATTTTTTTTCTTGACTTTTGAAACGCATGATGTTGAGAAATTTTTTTTTTGTACATCATACTCAGCGAGCGTGTAAATAATCATACAGTCATTTCACATCTACGTCTTTTGTTTGCATTTTTAACGTCGACATACACGAATAGACTTTCAAGTTTTTTTGATAATAAGTATATTAAAGTTTGCGAGTAAGTAAGACGTTACACACAGATTCAAATATGAATCGTAAAAAAAAAGATAGCCAAGAAAAAAGACAAGCATCGCAACTTTTTCTTTCTCAATAGCTATTGTTCTCGATTAGTCTTGGCGCTCAACTAATTGTATTATATCCCGATCGCATGACGACATCAACTAATACATTTTAACTTGCGAAAAGAAAAATGAATTCTAAAAGAGACGCAAGAATAATTGCTATTGACAATAAAAGATTGCTTTCGATCCATCCTTTCGCATATTCTCTTTTTTTTACTAGTTTCGTCGTCGCATAGAACCATCTTTTGTGCATTTATATAAAGTATACACAACAATAATTATTAATAACGATAATAATGATGATAATAATAATATTAATATTCTTTCGACTAACACGTGTGATAAAGAAGTGAGTAATCATTGTGCCTTGCGCGTGTTCTTGTTGTAATTAAATTAACATTTGATAATACCACTGCGCCTTTTTAATTGCGTAATCATAAGTGTTTTTTTGTATCCATAACGTGTAAATTATATATGTATATTAAAAATAAAATAATCAAAGGTGTATCAAACTGTGAAAAAGTTTCTTCGATGAGCCGAGATATTTTCTCATGTGTACATGTTTTAACGAGCTTATAGCGTATTAATTAGTTATGAAAATGTTTAATAAAAACTGCATAAAGGTTATTGAAGTGTTAAAAGCATGTATGTATTACAAAATCAAATTGAACTTGTCAAGGAAACTTTTTCCAAAAAAGTACTGCATCCACGAAAAGCTTGACCATTAAAAGCATTAAAAAAAAAAAAAAAAAAAAAAAAAAAAAAAAAAAAAAAAAANAAAAAAAAAAGAAAATAAAAACTGTTGACGATGGTAAAAGTCGAATATATTCTTGAATTTACATTTATAGAGTAACGCCGAACTCGAGCAAGCGAATCTTAATATGACGGCTGAGGGCACGAGGCCTGGAATAATAATACAGACGCTCGAGCGACCGTTGAAAAAAAATCGGCTCTCCCTGTCGCTCGACTGTTGCTGCTCATCTCAGAGCAGGCAGATGTGATTCTTATAACTCTTTTTATTGCATTTACCTAACGAATCTTCACTCTCTTATCTATTTTTGTTTTTCGTTAATTTTTTTAATTTTTTTTTTTTTTAAGTAAGAATTACGGGGAAACTAACACATATGTGCTCTTCTTTCATGTGAATAAGGGATTGAAAAGAGTATGACGTTGGACGTGTACATCTAATCGTTTACAAAGGGTAATTGACATTTTCAACTAGTGATTGTAGGAAAAGACTTTTTTTAATTTTAATTAGCGAATTCGTGTGCGAACGTTACATAGATGGAATTGATCAAAGAGGAATTTATACATCGATAAGTTTAAGTAGTAAATGAGCTGCATTCTTTTGTAATGTAATATAAAACAATGTGCTATACTTTTATTTTTGAAGTTTTTTGTAAAAGCAAAGGGGTGATGTATAGGGGACCAAATAATATCTATTTTTTCCTCTTTTCAATACAAAATTTTGACGTATATTTTTTTTCAAAATGCTTTTATTTTACCATAAATAATTTGTAATTTTTACACCACGCGAATATCCCTGCAATATCTGTGCACTAAAAAAAAACTTTTTTTACACCAAGAATTTTAAAATTCTCTCCATTCGGCCGTCACCAAAGAATGCAGTCATTGTAAATTTTTAAAATTAAAGATCCTTTTAATCATCGATGCAAATTGAATATCAACTACATAGAGATGCAAGAATATTTTTTACATTATGTTCTTCTATCTCTATGGTAAATTATACTGTTAACGACCATGAAGAACAATTAAGAGCTTATAATAATAGTTTTTAAGATTTTAATAAAAGTAAGTTTTACCGCACATACTGGAGTAATATTATCAAATAAAACTGTTAATCTTCCTTGCTATATAATGCAGAATTTTTATTTTTATACGAAAAAAAAAGATTTAACTAGTTGATTGAAAAAAAAGCATTTTAAGCTAACACCTTGACGTATTGTAATGTCTTATGTAGCAATTGTGTGCATAAAAAGGCACATTTTTATAACTTGTAAGCAAGTAAAATTATAGGAATTGTATTACCTTTTAATGTATTTTCGACCAATTTTTAAAGTGACTCTCCAATCAGCTGGTGTTCGCCGAAAATGTTTTCTAGACTTAAATAAACCAGTGTAACAAATCATTGTAAATACATTATAAAATCTCTCTTTACACAATATAAATAAATAAAAAAAAATAATAATAATAATAAAAAAAAAAAAAATAACAGCGATTGTAAAATGCTTATTCTTGTACTTTGATGTTACAAGCGAGAAAGCATATTTAATTTGAGAAAGAATAAAATATATACAAGTTGATAATAATATTAGGACTTTTATTTAACATTTCCTTATCAAAGGCAATTGAGATATTTATAATTAATATACATGTATGTACAATTCCAGTTTGTATAAAAATACGTACTTGAAAATCACAACAATTTTTTCTGTATTTATCAAACAGAAAAAATACAGAAATATCTATAAAAAATACGAAAACAACAATTTAGTTATTATGTACAAGCTCCAGTCTTTTTTTGAGCCGCTCTACTAATACTTTTACCCTTGCTTCGTGTTTTTCCAATTTTAATAAAGGAGCGAATGCTTTGACTGGCTCAGACTGTTCCACTTGGGGTTGTAAGCTTGCCCGTGGCTCCAACTGGCCTTGCTTATTTTTGAACATTATAGAGTCTTTCACGTAGCGGCGACGAGTAACAAAGTCCCTTTGACTATCGCAATTATCGTCCTCGTCGTTTGTGCAACTGTTGCATGAAAATGATTTTTTTATCAGATCAAAGATTATAGATTGGTACCGAATTTTTATATTTTTGGATATCCTATGACTTTTGTCACGAGTTGAAACTTTATTAGATATGAATAAATTCAGTGAAATCGAAACAATGTCAGTTACCTGCCAGACGTTTCCACGCCAGTCGTAGGACTAAACAAATCTTTCAAAGAAGAAGCAGCACACGGATTGATGAACTGTTTGGGCGACTCAGGCATGCAAGAGTCGACACAGTTGAAACTTCGTTTTGGACCCAATGATAACACCGGCGAGTTTGGCTCCATATTTGCGAAGGAGTTTTGCCTCGGCTCATCGGGCGTAACACTCTCTTGGCTAGTATTATCCTCATCCTCCCCCAAAGTTAAAGCAAACAACCAGCTCAAGTCTTCCATTTTCGTCCCGGATTCCAAGGTGTCGTGGGGCTCAAATTTGTTGTTGTTTTTTTTTAAATTTTAATAAATTAATTAATGTCAGATCTATTTAAACCACAATAAGATACTTACCAGATGTACATTTGTACTTTTGTTTGTTGAATACCTCGAGTCATTTTGCGATGATCTGCCTCCAGAATATCTTTCTGACCGTCTCAGGAAGATCGCACATTTCTCATCACCCATGTTTAGCTTACTTTCGTTACCAGGTGCGAGTACTAGAAGGTCCTCCTCCTCAGATGAACTACGTGAACGCCTGTTTTCCTAAAAAAAAAACAAAGCATTATAAAAGTGTTTGTCCAAGAATTAAAAAAATTATAATAATAATTCTTACAACGTCAGAATGATCTTCAGAAGTTGATTGTTCTTCGATGGTACCCAAGTTTGAATATGCTGCTAGTCTTGGCATGTTTCTTCTGGTTGACTCTTTCCCTATAAATAATAAAAAAATCCGAGCATTCGTCCAAGAGCTTGAAAATTAATATAAATGAAAAATGATCTCACTGCTAAAACAGCCAATACTAGAAGTACGAGGAGATATGTTATGCGGTACAAACTCCTGACACGACAAAATTATGTTGGAGAAATACTCTGACATCACTACGAGCATCTGCATTGTTTGTTGAGCATTTTCTAAGTTACTGCTCATGACATTCTTTAAAAAAAAACATATTTAAATGTACAATTTCAAAACATTTCAATGATACTTGATTCTACGTTAATTAAATACTAACTTTGCATTTGTTAAAAGATTCGGCGAATTTTAGACGCTCTTGACTCACTTGTACAAAGCCTTTAGCCAGACTTTTGATCATGTAATTTTTGTATGCTGAAATATATTGAATAATAAACAATTTTTTTATTCCATGAAACAAAATTGACAATAACAGGTACTCACACAAAAATCGGGATTTCATTTTTCTGTTGTTATACTTGACGCAAGTTCTTTTTGCCTCTCTAGTCTTTAGTACCTTCGCCATGTTTACCAACAACAATAGATTAGCAAATCCAACTGCTAGCAGCTCTTGTGAATTTTCGTTTGAATTTAGTTTTTCGAAAAATTAGTTTATCTTTACGCGGGAAGTGCAAGTTCAAACATTCAATTCTTATTGGCTAGTGAGATAAATAACAACCTCTCTCTCATTGGTGTGAATTTTACGCGCTGGGTATTGGGAGAAGGGGGAGCTCAAATAATGAAAACTTTTAAGTTTTCAAACGGTCTTTTTGTTTTTGTTTTAATTCTGTCGTAAAAAATGTCATCAATCAGAGAATTAATTGCTAAAATGAAGAAGGAGGACGAGGAGCGTCAGAAAGCTGATGAAAAACATTTTGCCGAGCACGATAAAAAATACAAGGAAATGTCAGACAGAATCAGCATTTATGAAGGTTAGAGTTGAAACATTGAACAATGTATTGTCTAACAGTAAACCCCGATGGGAGATAATTGATATACAGATTTAATTGTTTATAGATCGATTGAAGAAAGGGGTGCAAAATATACACCAGCGTGTACAGCAGTTAATCAACCATAAACACAGTATTGACAAGGCACTGCAGGAGATGGATGATCTTCCTGGCCTGCCTCTGCCTTACGAAGAACACAGGTATATCGTATTTTAGCTTATATTTTTTATACGTTGTATATTCATTTCATATAAATGATCGTGTGGCTTATTTTTCTCTTATTTTCACAGTAATTTTGTTAAATTTGTGTCGGAAGTACATGGTGTTTTGAACAAACCTGACATTTTGGACAGGCCAAGCACACTTTCAGTTGAAGAAATTCAAAACGACGTGGTTTGTATATTAATGTCTTCTATTAATTCTTATGTATTTATGGCCTTTGACAATAATTACTTGGGGGGGTAATTTTAGACTTCAACAACAGAAAGTATAGCCAGTGATTTAAAGGAATTTAAAACGGAGTTTATTCAAGCTGTAGCCTTGCATCATAATACCAATGAATTGAAAAAGTTGGATCGCATGTATGGTAAATAGTATGCTAGTTTTTTTAATTTTTATTATTTATTTTATTTAGAGGGCAGTGATTACTTAGACAGCTGCTTGGTTTTAGATGATCAGGAAGAGGTGACAAATACTATTATTGATGGATCTTTTAACGATACTGTTTCATAAACTCCAATGAAAAATTCCAGTCATATTGTTACTTAGATATGCATGAGTATTTTTTAAATTTTTTTAAGAAAATCTAAATGAGGTAGTGTTAATGAAGTAATTTTAGTTAATTATGTAAGTGATTTATATTATCTGGGAGCACTTTTTGCAGGTGTTTCTTACGGTATTATCTGTAATTTTTACACGCTTTATATACATATGTATATTCTGCTCAATTTTTATTTACCGTACAAAAAGTCTGATCACAAGAAGTTAATAATTCTCTGCCAAAGGATTATTAAAATGTGTGTGTGCATGTGTATGAATTTTTTCTTGATTAATTTTAAAGATACTCATATTATGTACATAAAAAACGTAGATGCAAGTAGGATACCATTGACTAATCAATGGCTGAGAAAAATCAATGATGAACTTGTTTATAAATTGTATTTAAGATCAAAAATGTACATTAAAATTAGCTTAGACGTATTGCTTGAAAAAAAATGAATGATATATATTTTTGTACAAACATAATAAGTACATTGGTATGTACGTGGTGCATTGCACATGCACACCAAATGTATCATAAATCACAAGTGTGCCCCTCCACAGAGAAGGGCCAAAAATAAATGACAAAAAAAAAAAAAAAAAAAAATCGTAAGTGGATTTTTTGTACACAAGTGAACCGTTGAAAATAACTTTTGGCTAGACCTTAGGTTTAACGGCGGGTAACGAGATCTCTTGTCCACTGTTCAACTCCCACCTCAACAAGACCAACTGTGGATCTACGATATCCTGAAGAGCAAGCGTGAAATTTAGAAAACGTTGATCGACCAATGGCGTAAATAATCAAAAGCATACTCATTCATGCTATTACCTTTGAATATGGTAAGCAAATTTCGCCATCCGAGAGATTGGCCTGCCGCTGCTGCTCCCCTGCACGACTGACTTGTAGTTCGTCAATACTCTTTACCGACGACGTATCCTTGACCGGCTTGTCCTCACCGATGCGAAGCGCAAGTCTCTCGCGTGCAAGCTCGAGCTTCTCCGAGGCAAGTTTGCTTTCTCGCTGGGTAAGAATCTCGCGCTGCAATTCCAGCTGGCTGAGCTTCTTCTTGTACCGCTCCTCGACGAAGCGGGCCTCCTTCAGTGCTCGCATCCCCTCGTCCCTCTTGTTTATGGCGGACTACGATGCAGTGCGTAATATCTATTTATAGTAACCAAATATGAAGGTGGAAAAAAAACTTGTTTTTGCATACCTTGGTGAGATCTTGAAGTTCCTTGGCCCTCTGGACGAGATGAGCCTCTTTGTCCTGAAGCGTCTTTCTCTGCGACTCCAGCTCGTTCGTCTTCTCCTGCCACCTCAGCCTCTCTTGGTTGGCTGCCGCCGCCGCTTCTTGCGCAGCTCTCATCGAAGCCTCCAGCTTTAATCAAATTGTCATTATTAACTCCATTTGTTTTATATACATTTTGATCATCACCTCGAACTTCCAAGTCTCGTCCGCTCCAGTTTTCAGCCTATTGGCGATCTGCAGCTTGCCTTTTTCGACCGCCAAAGCTTGCCTCTCCTTGGCCAGCCACTCGATTTGCATGTCCTGCTCCTTCACCCACGAGTCTCTCATCGCCTGCAACAGTATATTCCACGTCTAGGCTGTATGGTCACACTCATGATGAACAAAAGCCACCAACCTGCAAGCGCTCGCGCTCCCAAGTGGTCTGCTCGGCAAAGAGCTCCCGGTCCCTGAGCAGCGCCTGTTCCCTGGACTTCATGATTCCCTCCGCCTCCTTGAAATTCACGCTCTGCGCCTTGAACTCGCGCGTCAGCTCGTCGATGTTCATCTCGAGATTGCGAATCGTGTCCATCAGCCTCTGCTTCTCCTCGACAAAGTCATTTTTCTGCTTCTCCAGGGTCTCCTTAAGATCTGCGCGATAGTGATTTGTGTATGAAAAAAAAGATCCAAGTGCGGTACATACGTGATGTACTTACACTCCATGTTCTTCTCCTGAAGGGACAGATGGTTGGTCTGCGAGGCTGCGAACCCGACGTCCCTGCCCTCGAACTTCCTGTGCAGGTCCTCGAGGCCCTCGATGATCACCTGCGACTTGTTGAGCACGTTCTGCACGCTCGTGCCCTCGGCCCTCATGATCTCCAGAGCTTGGCGCTCCGACTGCTTCGACCTGGTTATTCGCTCGATTGTCTCGAGATGCTCGCTCTGCAGAACCTCGAAGCTCCTCGCGTGCTGCTCGCGAATCTCTTGGAACAGCCTCGCGTTTTCCCTCTTAAGGTCGAAGCCATTGAAAATACGTGACAAAAAATTCCGCGACACGATGCAACGACAACTCTGATGAGCATCACCTTGGATGTTTCCTTCTCTTCGGCGTGCAACCTGTGGCACTCTGAGATCTCATCCCTGAGTTTCTGGACTTTGGCTCTGTGGTCGGCCTCGATGCTCTCCACGTCGTCCTGCATCCTCTTCTCCATGTGGAGCATGGCTTCCTCCAAAAAAGCTATCTGCTTCCTGGACGAAAAAAAAAAAAATAATAATAATAATGAGCCAGTGCTAGCTCTTAAAGGCGTTCAACGTGCATAGGTATACTTGTAAGAATCCTCAACGATCGACATCTCCTTCTCGTGCTTCTCTTTCAAGCTGTCCACCGTATTTTCCAGGTAGAGCTTCTCCAATCGTAGCTTCTGCACAAGAGCCTCCGACTCGTCCACCTCCTTACTTCTATCCGCCACCTGATGCACCGCGGTAGGGACGGAAGTTGGCTGGGCTGCAAGGCTCTACAACGCCCTTGACCATAGTGTCCGAGTGTGAGAACAAAAAGAAACCTACCCTGATGTAGCCGTCGATGCGCTCCTGCTGCGCCTTCATCTGTGCCTCGAGGATGGCCTGTCTCTCGAGTTGTTTGGCAACCAGGACACCAAAGTGGCCCTCCTGCTCGGCCAGCCTGGTCCTCTGCGCCTCCAGCAGCCCGTTCAGCTTCTCGCTCTGTCGAGCCATCGACACCGCTGTCTTTAGCTCGTGCTCCTGCTGTTGCATGCTCATCATCGCTGCCTGCTGCTCAAACTCCAGCCCCAGGAGACGCGACGCCAGCGCGCTCTGCTCCGAGTTCTCGACTACGGTCAACGATAATAGTTTCTATTGTATACACACGTTCGGTTGCCATGTATTTCTGTATACCTGGTATGGTCGATGATAGATCAGTCGAAGACTTTTTCACAACGAAATCGGATGAACCGTCTTGCTTCTTGTTTAGGCTCTGTTTTGGCCCGCCCAGCCACTCCGGTAAGTCGTCGACGGCGTTTTCGGCTCCCCTGGAGCTCCCGGCCGACTGTTTGAGGCTCTCGGTTTTCGGCAAGTCGTCAAACTGTAAGCTGGACCCCGACAGCAGACCCAAAGGATCGTTCGGTACGGCGGAGGAAGGTCTTCTTCCCCGTCTGGGCTCCTTTGGCGCGCTGAGGCTGAAACCACTTTTAGCTTCGGTGCCTGAAAGTAAAATTATTATTTAATCATACCTGTTTGATAATTAAATAATGGTGTTTTTATTTGTATAGGCTTGTGTCACCAGAGCCATCTGGCAGGGCGTCGAGGCTGTTTTTCCTGTTCCCGAAAGCGTCCTTCCTGGCGTTGGAGTCCATCCCCGAACTGGATGAGGACTTTGGCCTGCTGCCAAAGAGGTTTTCCATCAGCGAGGTCTTTTTTGACTTTGACCTGTCAGCTAGGTTGTCGATCACGTCGTTGGCATCGTCGTCGTCCTCGAAGAAGGGTCGCATTTTCGGGGTCGAATCGCTGGGTTTCGACGTTGGTTCTCCACCCAAAAAGTCTTGTTCTTTTAGTTCCGATGTCAGTTGCTTCGGTGATGGTCCTTTGTCTGCCGGTTTGATGCTCGGCGGTTCAGTGGTCTGAGATGTAAAACCGACTTGTTATCACGACCAACTCTGTTATGAGCAACAAAATTGTTACTAGTATACCTCTTTCCTGACTCCAAACAAATCCTCGATCTTGTTATTCCTCAGCAGGTCCGATGATTTCTTTCCCAACTCGTCCTCATCCTCGTCGTCGTCGATGTCCGACAGATCAAAGTCTCCCAGAGGACCGAGATTTGATTTGGAATCTAGAAAATTTCAAGGATATATCTTTTCGATGGAAAAAAAATAAAAAACAAAAGAGAGAGAAAAAAGTAAAGGCAAAAATGGACCTTTGAAAACGACTTTTTTCTTCGCTTCGCCTGCCGTGGAAGTCGCTTGGGGAGCGAGGTTTTTACCAAACAGCGCATTGTCCAGGTCGTCCAGGCTGTCCATAGCATTATCATTCACGGCGTTCAAACAACGAAATTCGGCGTATCTCGAACAACATTTTTTTTTATTGCTTCCGAATCGCTAAAATAAATCCTTACGTCCGATTCATTTGAGCGCGAACACAGCACGCACTCAAAATCAATTGCGAATCCTTCATTTTAACGTTTCTACAAAATAATTAATTTCCTAACTAAGGAAAAAAAAAAAAAAAAAAAAAGAAACAAAAAAATTAGCTACCAATTATTGTGCGCTTTGTTTTGAAAATAGTGGCGTGGCCGGTCAGCTGACAGTTACCCCTGACAACGGCCTTTTAATTTGCGTGAGGCAAATGTATATAGATGTATTCTCTGTGATACATGCATAGGCTCTTTAAACGGGAAATAGGAGCAATAACACCATCGCAGGTATACAAGTATATTTAACACGAGAGAGAAAGAGTGTGGGTGTGCATCATTGCACACATGACGTGGCTGAATAAATAAAGTTTCTGTGGAGTATCCAGAGGAAAGGGATACTTAAATATATATGGGGAAGCAAGAGAGGGAGTGCCTTCGTACTCGTATTAGTTGAGGTGTGCGGAGAGAATATTCGTGCATGTCGTTTAAACTGTGTGGAAGGTTTAATTAAGTGAAACAGTGGCAGCAGGTCCGGTAAGCTATACAAAATTGACCTGCATAAGTAAATAACTCGTTCGTGATATATTCTTTTGTATTTTTAAACATCTTACTCGCGTGTACGTGTGTGCTATTGTGGAAAAGTGTATGCATTTAGAATTTTTTTTCTTCCAAATCGTAGGTTAGGTTCCGCTATTTAGTTGATTTAAAATTTTCATTTCTTCGACAAATTATTTACATTTTATTTTATCATCCATCAACGTGTTGTATAACTATCTTACGAGGGTGTGGATGAGATATTTCATTGTTTAAACAATAAACCCTCTACAACCCATCCATCGATGAACTTCGTTTTTTTTTGTTCGCACAGTGAAATAGTAGCATCATGACAGATTTAAGTTTCTGTGGTAGAGCATATGCCAAGATTATTTTACATGCAGCCAAGTATCCACATTGTGCTATCAACGGCTTGCTACTGGGAAAACAGAAAGGCAATGAGTTGCAGATTGTTGATGCAGTGCCATTATTCCACATCTGTCTGCATGTGTCTCCCATGTCTGAAATCGCTCTGACAACAGTAAATTGAACAATTGTTTTTTAAATAAAGTTTCAGGCTTCTTATTAAACAAATTGATTTCCTCAGGTGGAACAAATGGCCAATTCCAAGGGCTTGGTAATCGCAGGTTATTACTTGGCCAATGAAAATATCAATGATGTTAGGTGAGGCAATTGACTAAACTAACAAATGTTTCACCTGTATGAGATGACGGTAATTGTAATTTTCAATTGCAGCATTGACAAACCTTCTCACAGAGGCATATCAGAGAAGATTGCTGAAAATTTTAACAATGCCGTTATAGCTGTCGTTGACAATAAAGACATGACTATTGGCATGAATGTCAATCCTTTGAGAATTTCGCAGTATTCAGATGGCAAGTGGAAATTTAAAGACAAGTCTAGGTATATACAGTTTGCGAAATAATATAAAAATAATTGGATGATATAAGTAGTGTACTGATTATAGTTTTTTGTAGCATAAAATACGAGGGTGGAGCTGGTCTCTTGGAAGCCATGTATTATCTAATGAAAAACGAGGAATACAGAAATCTAGTCGATTTTGACAATCATCTTGATAACATAAGCTTAGATTGGAGGAATCTGCTGTTGAACGACGTGATAGACGACGCACTCAAGAATCATAGATAGTTTTTATTCGCCAAATAATTGAATATTCATTGAAATTTTTTTTTTCACCCACGCGCACTAAAATGAAATAATAATGATGAATTTTTAATCGTTGTAGAATGATTACTTTGGAACATGATTTTAGAGATTTGTTATGGATTTAGGTTTAATACAAGAAAACAGTTTTAAAGAGAAACGAATTTTTATTTATTCATTCAATTCATTTTTCCTCCTGTCATTTGGTGGTGCACAAATGTACAATAGCCGAAAGCTCTCAAATTAATGATCTTTTTCAGCTTCTCAAAATAAATAAGTAAACAAAAACTGAACACTAAAGAAGCGCGCAGCTAATAATTTTTTTTCTTTATTTTTTTTTTTTTTTTACACAATTTATTTACTCTGGTTTCTAGTGTGCACGTGTGTCTGCGTGTGTTTTCACTAATTTCAGGTACGAGAACTGCGCTTGACTAAGGTTTTCCGTGTACGTGCGTATTATTGACATTTAGCGAGAATCCATCGAAAGTTGATTTACTTTTTTGGTACTTGTACCCACTCTGACTAGTGAAAACAATAATGTTCTTGTGCTTGGAAAAATATGTTTAACAACAGCTAAGTTTTCAAAAGTAGGTCTCGTGAGACGCTCGTCAACAGCAAACCCAGAACTCTATACTTGTGGTAAGTATCTCCTTTGTGAAAAAATGTCTTAGACAATGTTCAGAGTAAAAAAAAAATTTTTCCATGACTCGTTCAACTACGAGTGATTATACTCGGCCAATCAAGCTCGATATACATTTTCGTACATCCGACGAACTTTTTATACATCAAATTTGCCTCTCTACGAATTAGTTTCATCGATTGTATTATTGTACCAGAGTTTTCCTACGATCTGGAATTTACAAAAAACTTTCAAAGTTTCTTTAAAATCAGAGTGCAGTATCTTTGTTCTTCAAATTGCAATTTAAAATTGTCGATCGTTGCCGCAACGACTGGAAATTCGCAGCCCAAGGAACTTTTCCTTTTACGTGTATTTAAAGCAGCGTGTAAATTCTTATTTCACTTTTATTATATTTTATTTTATTTTTTTGTTCCTTAATCGTACATTTATATATAAAAGTCAAGATATGCTGCCTAAGGCGATATCGAAGCCTCATCGAAGGTTCTGCGCTTTGTATCATGTATAATTTGATAATCTATCTACGTGTATGAGTGTATATATATATTATTTATTTATTTCATTGACCATTTTAATTGCATATTTTCGCAAAATCTGTTTCTCTTAAAATTTATTTTTTTCAACCCACTTTTCTCTTTGTCCTTTTTTTTTTTCTTTTTAACGAATCATCAGCAAGCTTTATTCAAATGGTCGCTAAAAATATAGAGTAGACGTTACAAGCATATTATAATGTACAATGAATCGCAATACATGTATAGTGTACTTTATTGCTTCTCCGCCTATCACAAAGTTTTTTAACAACCATCTTCTCATATGTAATTATGTTGCGGCTAATGATTTGTATATTTATTATTCGTTATCGTCCTCAAGAAAGCTTACCTACTTTATTTTCCCGATAACGCGATACATCCGACGTGTAACTCTATAAAAAAAAAAAAACCACATGGTTTTAGCTCGTGGTAACCCACGTAGATTCATTTTAAAATAACCGCATGGTTTTTTTTAACCATATGGTATTTAAAAAAACCACGTGGTTTATCTCACGGTTTTATTTTTCGATAGAGAAGTATGCAAAAAGTGTCTCAGTGATCATCTAATTCAAGCAGCCAACCACAGTTTACATATTATTACATGTAGACGCTGCGCACTCATTGTCTGCTGTACCTATTGTTTATACCTACGTACCGATTCTAAAGTATCAAAAATACCCGCGCGCGTAGAATAAATTTTTTTTTTACATTTTACGTGACACATGAATTTTAAAATATATTCATTTATACGCTATATCTATGTGTGTATAGTCAACTGGGTGTGTTTTGCCGAATTAAAAAGTACGCGCGTGTTTGTAAATACACATAATATGTTAGCTAAGGCAAATATTACTCTCTACTGCTATACGTACAATATTATATTATGTGTATGTATGACCTTTGCTATTAATTTACGTAGGGGTGAAAAAAAAAACAACGCCATTACGTCCGAATCGCGAGCCTTTGTTTGATTTTTTTTAAATAGATTATCCCTACTTTTTGGTCCGAAGCTTGTCTTTTCTTGTTTTGTATGTATAACTATGTTTCGTCAAAATAATCTGTAAAATTTATTCACGAAAACTCGCTTTCTTCAATGATTAAGATATATTAAAACAAAGAGACTCGAAAATATTTACTTTCACAGTTTAGCGAGCTATACAT